AACGCAGAGCCCCTACCGCGCATCGATGACTTGCTGGACCGAGTGCAAGGGTGCCAGTACTTCAGTAAGATAGATCTGAAGTCCGGATACCATCAGATTGCAATCCGGCCCGAGGATCAACACAAATCCACTTTTCAGACCAGGTACGGTCTGTACGAGTTAGTGGTGATGCCTTTCGGCCTTCGCAATGCTCCTGGCACCTTTCAGCACGCTATGAACCGAATCTTTCATGACTACTTGGACAAGTTTGTCATCGTGTACCTCGATGACATACTTATCTTTAGTAGGACTGTCGAGGAGCATCTTGCTCATTTAGACAAAGTCCTTAGTCTCCTTCGGCAGCACCAGTTCAAGATTAACCAGGAGAAGTGCGAGTTTGGCCGCACCTGAAACTTGTATCTTGGTCATGAGATTTCCGCAGAGGGATTGAAGCACGATGACGCGAAGGTGGCGAGCATTCGTGGCTGGTCGCGTCCTCAGTCTGTGACTGTGATGAGTTCCTTCGTAGGGATGACCAGCTACTACCGTAATTTCGTAAAGAACTATAGCATAGTGGCCGCACCTTTGACGGACCTGACACGTCTCGACACCCCTTGGGAGTGGACAGACAGGTGTGAGGCTGCTTTCAGACATCTGAAGCACTCCTTAACACACCATGAGGTCTTGAAACTTCCTGATCCTGACAAGCCATTTATAGTGACCACAGATGCCAGCCAATATGGCATTGGTGCCGTGCTTGCGCAACAAACAGGAGGGGCCAAAGTTGAGGCCGGTTGAGTACATGACCACCTATGAGAAAGAGCTCTATGCAATCTACAAGGCGCTAACCCACTGGAGGCACTACCTCCTTGGGAGGTTATTCATCAGACCCTGAAGTGGATGAGAAACCAGCCAGTGCTCTCCGATGCGCTGAAACGCTGGATTGAAGTCATTGAGCAGTAAGACTTTGAACCCCAGTACATCAAAGGAGAGTATAACAAAGGAGCTGATGCGCCGCCGTGTAGGCCGGACTTCCTAGGTGTGCTGATCACTGAGTTTGGGCTTGCGGACGATGTTACTCGGTCCTTGGTGGAAGCCTATCGCAAGGATCCATTTGTGTCAGAGATCATACGCAAGCTCGAGGCAAAGGACAACGTAACTTCTGACGAGTTTGTAATGGTCAATGGCCTGCTGTTCCTTGAGAAGGCCGGGAATAAACGACTGTCTCCCGAATTGGGAGTCTTTGCGTAGTTTATTTTAAGGTGAGTGTCATGACGCCACAGGACATTTTGGTTATAAGTAGACTACAGCCAACTTGCTGCAGCAGTTCTGGTGGCCCGCAATGATGAGAGATGCCAAGCTGTATGTGGAGACTTGTCAAGTCTGCCAGAGAGACAAGCCACGTACACAGGCCCCTCTTGGGCTTCTCAAGCCCCTTCCGATTCCGGAAAGGCCCAGTGAGAGCCTGTCCATGGATTTCATGGACACGCTGGTCACCAGCAAGAGTGGAATAAGACACATCTTTGTCATTGTGGATAGGTTTAGTAAGTACGCTAGGTTAGTGACAATGCCTGAAACAGCAAAGACCAAGTACATGATTAGACTATTCAAAGAGAACTGGGTCAGAGACTTTGGGCTTCCAAAGTCTATTGTTAGTGACCAGGATGTCCGATTCACAAGTGAACTGTGGAAAGCTGCAGCTGCAGAACAAGGGATGCAGCTGCAGATGACCTCCGGGAACCACCCAGAGGCAAACGGGCAAGCAGAGCAGCTCAACAGCGCTGTACAACACCTGCTAAGGCACGATATCAAGCCTAATCAGATGGACTGGGACGAGAAACTTGCTCTCGTCGCCAGTCTGTATAATAACGCTGTGCACAGCGCAACAGGGGTGAGCCCTAACAGTCTGCTACTGACCTTCAAGCCTAGCCTGCCCCTAGACTTTCTACTACCTGAGAACCAGCCGGCTGCTGCACCAGGCATACAGTAGTTGAGTCGTCCTTTGAACATCTATGATTAGCACGTAGACACCCCCATAGCTAGATGTAACAGAAAGAAGAAAATTGAGGTTGAGGCTGAAAGGAAGGCTCTGTGAGTGCTGGCAATAAGGGGAGATACTCAGACATGATACCTGTTCAATCTTCATTGGTTGCCATAATTAATTGATTAATTGAAGAGCAGGGGGCAGGGGGAAGGTAGAAGAAGATGCAGTTGGTTTCATCCATACTTGCGGCGCATCGCGATGCGCTGCGCCGCACCGCGCATCCCGCACGACGCGCGCGCACTGTATGCGGCGCACCTCCAAAAATGGGGGTCAAAAAAAAGAAAAAAAAGTTGTGAGGGGCGGTAGTAGACCCGGCCCCCTGCTCGCGTAAAATAAGAAACGGGCAGCCAATTTTTTTTTGGAGGCCGCGCGTTGGCCTGAAAGCTTTTAGTAACCTGTAGTTCGGGTAACACTCTGTGTGTGTGGTAGGGTTATTGCAGTCTGTATGGTAGGGTTCTTGCAGGCCAGATTCAGTCATGAAGAGGGTCGCAATTTCTCAAAACTTTCTCTTCTTATTACTTCGAAAGTAGAAAACGACGGAACTGACAGCCGTTTTTCCTGGAATGTTTTTTTTTTTTTTTAAAGGAAGAAAATCAGAATTTATTTGCACGAGTGTCGCCCGGCACGTCCAACCTGTCAGAACCTCAACGGTAATTGCAGTCTGTATGGTAGGGTTCTTGCAGGYCAGATTCAGTCATGATGAGGGTCGCGATCTCTCAAAACGTTCTCTWCRTWTTRCTTCTGAAGTAGAAAACGACGGAACTGGCAGCCGTTTTTCCTGGATTTTTTTTTTTTTAATAAAAGGAAAAAAACGTAAAGGAAGAACAGCTCTTTGCACGAGTGAAGCCCGGCRCGTCCAACCTGTCAGAACCTCAACGGTAATGTTTACCAACGGGCTCGCTGCACTACTCTCGACATGCACAACAAGACATATATGGCAATGTATCTTTCCATGTTCAAGCGGAGGATTCAGTCTCATTTGTTCAGAGATTCTCCCAAGAAAAAAAAGAAAGGTTCCAGAGATACGTTACGTGCTTACCTGATTCATCGGCCCTTCGCTCTCCACCACCCAATGTATGAATGAATCTTCCGCCAGAACATGGAAAGATACACCGCCATATTTTTTGTCCTTTGTACATGTCGCCGCGCTTCCGGATTCATGTTGCCCGTTGATAAGGGCGGTCTCTTCGGTCCGATAGTGTCAGCACACGGTTCTTCTCTCTCTCACACGGTTTCTTCTCTCTCTCTCTCTCTCTCTCTCTCTCTCTCACACACACACACACACACACACACACACACACACACACACACACACCGAAAATAGGCATCGCGCACAGTGCAGACCTTCCAGGGGTAGCGCGTCCCCATGCGCTGCGTGCACGGCGCACCTCACCGCACTAATGCGCCGCAAGTATGGTTTCAGCTCGTGTAGTTTTCTTGTTCTTCTTCTATCCTCTTTATTCTGTGCTGCTCTGCATCTCTCTTCACTTCTTTCCATTTCGGCAATTATGCCCACAAGAAGTCAATTAAATACATTCTCTGGGCCCTTAACAAGGTAGGCAGAGAGTGAGGACATACCCACAGTAGACCTTTCTTAACTGATCTCTGGAAGAACTTGCAGCTCAGGTGCATCAAGGACTGCCAAAATTTTGGTCCCATGCATCCAGGAAAGGCCTCCAGTGAGTATGCCCTGTGTTATCTCTGGACGAACTTGCAGCTCAGGTGCATCAAGGACTGCCATAATTTCTGGCCCCATGCATCCAGGAAAGACCTCCTGTGAGTATGCCCTGTGTTTATGCATGCTCTAGGACATACCTGTAGCTCCATGCACAACGGATGAGGGTAGCAGTTAACCTTTCGCTCCCTCTGCAGCATCCACCGCACCTGCAAACACAACACCACTATGTGACATCGTCAGACAGCATCACTCACTGTTAACAGCTGTCATGAGTTTTCAAAAAGCACCACTCACTGTGCACAGCTGTCACGAATTTTCACACGAGTAGTCAAAAACCGATTTGCCTTCATCGTCGCAGGAATGATACAAGCTCATTCAGAACCACTTCTGACACATCGGGATTGTGAGAGAGAATTTGGGACACTAATGACACCCCTGTGGTTGCCAACAGTAACTCGATTTACTGAACGCACAAAATTGCACCTGTAATCGAAAATCACAAGACCTAATTGTTGCATCACAAAGATCAAAAGATCTTACAGCGTTCTGCTGTGTAACAGACAAACCACAACCAGCAAACCATCAAACCATCAAACCACCATAGCTGAGCGGCATAGCCTACATTCTACCAGGAATGGTACTATGGAAACCACGATAACGAGTGACATTGTCTACATGCGACTAGGGATGGCATTATGCTCATCTATTAAGGCCCAGCTCAGGAGACATCATTACCGTGGGGTCGCCAACTACCGCGCTGGGGTGCAGGACACCAGACACTTCAAGCTGGTTTTGAGCATGGAAATCAGGAATGCAACAGGAGCTGGAATTGAGCACTGCCCAGTCTTCACTAAGCGATGCTCAAATTTTGTCTTAATTCTTTGCTGACAATCCTGTACTGTAAACTCACAATGCTCAACTTTTGTTTTCTTTCTTGTTGCTGACAACGCCATTCTGATGATAAAGCCCAGCTTGCTTGCTTGTTCGCCATTCTGAGAAAACAGTTCTATTCGTGAGTAGCAGCAATAGCTAGAAAACATTGGTCACCCGCACAACCTGTGCAGAGTGCTTAATGCAATGACCCCCAGTTGGAGTCAGAGAGCTGTGTGATTCAAAGAAATCACTGCCTTCCAATCTGTTTTCGCGGAGATCTGTGTGTCTGAGCGTTTGTGGTGTGTGCTTGAACGGAAGTATGCTCGTGTGACAACTCTCAAATCCATACGGCTCTTGATTTGTTTCTTAAGAAAGGGTAGAATTTTAATTCGTCGTAGGTAAAGGGACAAGACTGCTGCACCGGTGACTGAACCGGCGGAACAGGTTCCCTAACATGCTGCACAAGCCGCTGGCCCGGCTGCCGCACTGTAGTTGTGGCACTTGATATGGGGACAAATGAAGCGGATCCTGGAGTCTGCCACTACTATCTACTGATGAACCGCCTGCTGGAAATATGTCGTACTGAGGTTGAAACAAGGCACTGGAAAGCTTTCCGGGTAGGATCAAACGACAAAAGCACACAGAGAAGTTAGCAGGGAGCTGTTCTAGATTTTCCAGCAAGTTGACGAGGGAGGCCCAGTGTTCAGTAGGATTTGCAGCAGGGATAATGATGGTACCGAACTGAATATAGGTTAGATTTAAGCATGTGCCGCAGTTCTGTGCCTCAGGAAAAGGTAGACTTGTAAATAGCCGTCTGTGCAGGGACAAGGCTGAAATGATACACTGGAAAGCTTTACAGATAGGCTCAAACGGACAAGGGTACACAGAAAGAGTTGGCAGTGTCCCGTTACAGATTTTTCCAACAAGTTGACAAGGCCCGGTGAGCAAAATGATGACCAGGAGGTAAAGTGATGGTACTGAGCTGAATCTAGGTTAGGATAAACCACCAGTACATCGGGAGAATTCAAATGAACCTCTTCGAAAAGTTACGGGACCCGGGACCGGGACCGCCTCGGGGGGGACGGATTTTTTTTTTTTTGTTCGGAGCTCGGTTTAGTGCCACCACACAGCATGGGGCAACTTTGTTTTCTACTGGGCCCTTCGGACACACTGTCCTGAGCCTCCGAATTTTTTGGAGAGGCTCGATCGGATTCTCAACTTGGCTGGGGCCATGTATTGGTGGTTTAAGTATAAGACTCGTAAGACTGTTCTGTGTGAGCAATCTACAGCAGATATTTCAGTCTCACTGCGGTTCACAGTCCCAGCCTTGCTCCTGTTAGAACTTGTGTGAAGGGATGTGTGTGTAATTTCTTTGCGAGCATTACACTGCATGAATCTTCAGTCTTGCAGCAGTTCTAGGTCCCACCATTGCTCCTGTTTGAACGTGTGCGAATGGACTTGCATACGTGTAGCCTTACCATCCTTTTCCACACTTGTGAAGTTGCCCATCCTCCAATAAACTGTCTCTCCAGTTTTAAATCACCAGTTCCTCAATGCATTCCACGGCCATGCTATAGATAAGGGGCCTGCCATTTGGGTGTGCATCAGTCCAGCACTGGCCTGGCACAGCCACATGAGAAAACTGTGCCCTTGACCCTGATAGTTGACAATTCCAGTCGTTTTTTGACAGCCACCCCAGCGCCCAATGGTCCCAGTTCAGACAAAAGGCAGCCTGCTTCAGGGAAGCTGCCAGGGAAGCTGCTCCTTGAACAGAGGTCCAGGAACCAAGACTCGGAGGAACAGGGATGTCTGGGTAAATACAGTGTATAGCAAGGCCTTCTGAGGCAGCTCTTTTGAAGAATCCAGTTCTGGCAAAACAGGCAACATCATGTACCCTATCTTGAATATAGCAATCGAATAATTGTTTCAGATAAAAAAGACGTCGACAACACGTCTGGTATGCCAAGAAGAGTTGGATAGACCAAAACACATGACGTTAAAGATTGGTGGAAAAGTACTTTCCCATCAATCAAACCCAGCCCGGAAAAGCAGTAGATATTGATCCTTCCTTCAGGGCCTCAGGCCCATTCGAACCAGCACCCTCAGCCACACGAACCGAGTATCTTAACCACACAGCCAGGACACGGTGTTCAAACTCCGGTGGCCTAGCTCAGTTGGTAAGGCTCGCAAGTGGCATTCAGGAGGTCGTGGGTTCAATCCCCATTGGCAGAATGTACCTTCCTGGGCATGCTTGGCGCCCCCCACCTAGAGATAGACAACTGGATCCCCCGACCAGCATCGAGCGGAGTCTGCTGATCTTCGTAGGGGAGGGGACCTGAGAGGAGGCACAGGGAGTGGTCCTGTTGGCATGGTCCCTGATGCTACCTGCTGTCCCCTGGTCGGTATTGGCCACCTGCACGTTGGGAGCAGCCCCCCCATGTTCTCTGGTGAACACGGTTCTGACTGCTACAGGGTTCCCCGTATGACTATATTTAGTAGAGGTAGGTAGGTAGCGGTAGGTAGGTAGTGTGAGGTGAAGTTGAGAGAAGAATGTGGTTTACTTTTTCAAACAAACAAACAAAAAAAGTGGAACCATACTAGTCGTGATATCCACCTCATTTTGCAAAGCTGTAGCGTCCAAAACACACACCACACACAACACCACACAGACACGGCAATTCACACACACTTCATTCCATCCAGCATGCGACCGACCACCACTAGTTCGCCTGGTCACTCACTTTGGAAAGGTTCCATCAGCCCGTGTTCCAGGCAGCCTTTCATACTGGAGCCTTGTTCAAAGAAACCTAGAAGGATCCATCAGGACTACAGATTTCCAATTTGGAATGGGGTGCGTATTTTTCTGCTTTTCTCTATCAGAAAGTCGCAGAGCCTAAACCTTTGTTGCTAAAGTAGGCGGCCTCAGCCTTTGCAACAGCCAATCCTCTTTGAAAGCTCAGGGCTCGAGGTCAGTGAAGCCGATAATCGTGTTGCATTGCTGTGGAGCAGCACTCATGCTTGGAGGGTGGCAAGTTGTCATCCTTCCCGATGAACGAGCTTCCTGGTATGGTGGATCGCCACTTTTACTTGTGGCAGCTTCTCATAGTACAAAGGGAATGCACTGAGATTAGGGGTTGGGAGAGAGGTGTTTGAAGAACAAGGGCCTGTAGGTCCATTAAACTCACTTTGGTATGCTGTATTATTAAACCAAACAAAACAACATGCAATGAAGCCCATAACAGAAATAGAAGCCAAGTTATAAGATAAATAAGCTTCGCCAGAGAGAGAGGTTGTTGACGAACAAGGGTGATTGTCACTCATAGCTCAGTGGGAGCGAGCATGATAGAGAAGAACTATAGGTGGCAAGCCGTGTACAAGGACATAGATTGGACACCATAGGGGTCTCTCAGCAGCCAATGGATCAATTTCACCACCTCATCGCGGCCTCGAACAGTTAGCAACTTAGCAAGGATGGGGCTTCACAATCTGTTCAGAATCCCTATTGGCATGAAGACTCTGCTCTCCTCTTTCCTCGATCCTGGCCATGAATTCATTTGGTGCTTCTTATGCATGTTGGGATGGTGCCAAGCATGCAACAAAATCACATGACAGTTCAAGAATCAAGAATGATAATAATGTGAGGATTGAGCCCTCAAGAAGGGGCCTTGCCATGATGTACATGTTCTGGGCATAGGCCCCCAGCAAGCCTCGTGCCCGCCCTAAGTGAAGGCGGGCCAGACATGTGACCGCCCTAAGTGAAGGCTGGTCAGAATATCCACGAACAGGCCTTTCTTTCAGCATTTTTGTAAAGTGGGTATCAGACAGTTGCAGCACRCCAGTTGGTTGGAGTGCATCGTGGATCCCAGACTCCTGCGAGAAGCAGTTGAGCCCAGGGCCTCAGTTGGTTGAGCCCTGGGCACAGGCCAGGGGAGGCCGACACATCACACATCGGATGTCGGCCAATCGGAAAGCAGCATTGCCGTCGTAGAGGCTGAGCAGACCAATGGGAAATCGGAAAGGGTCTGCATCTGGCCGACGGCCCTGGCATAAGGGGCGCAACTGTACTGCCCGGGCCACATCTGGGTTGGGCCTGGGCGCAGGTACTGGGACCGGGGCACAGGCTCAAGGCAGGCCGCCCACACGCAGCAAGGCATATAGGCGAACAGTGCGAGTGGGCAGGGATCTTGGCCATTTCGGGCAATGCCGGCATGCTGCGCGTTTGCGAGCTGCCGTGCTGCGCTAGGCTGAGGGAAGCAGGCAGGCGCTAAGCGGTAGAGCGCTCCCTGGGAGCAGGGCGCTGGCGGCCATAGCCGGGCTGCCTGTGGGCGCAGAGGAGGAAGGGCGAAGGTGGTTCTTCGGAGGTGAAGGGCGCTGTGTGGGATAACAAGGGAGAGTGTGGATGAAGAGGGAGACGTACCTGGTGGAGATGGNGCTGGGGTAGGCAGGCAAGCGCTAAGCGTTAGTGCGCTGCCTGGGCGCAGGGCGCTGGCGGCCATAGTCGGGCTGCCTGTGGACGCAGAGGCGGAAGGGCGAAGGTGGTTCTTCGGAGGTGAAGGGCGCTGTGTGGGATAACAAGGGAGAGTGTGGATGAAGAGGGAGACGTACCTGGTGGAGATGGGAGGTCGGCATTGGTGTTGACATCATGACTCGCTGGTCGTCAAGTTGTCTGGTTGCTTTCATTCTGTAGTTGTAGTGTTAGGCTGTAGAGTAGGTAGGGCGCCTGGCGCCATTCAAAAGAGAGAGCTACATTGGGTTATGCTGTTGGTATTGCCCTGTTGGGATTGGACATTGACTCACGATTCTTCTGTATCGTTCTTAAATGGATGGTTACTCGGTTCCATTGTGCTATCTGCTCTTGCTTTGACTACTTGGACTTCAGTGTGATTTTGCAATCTGGATTTCTGTGCTTCGCCCATACTCATGTTCCTTGCAATAAAAAGTTCAATGCAGAATACTACCTACATGATAGATCACTTGGAAATTTTGGCAACATAACGTCAGGAAAAGTGACGATGGATGCCTCCTCCCAGTTCACAGGAGTCCAGGGTTGATATACACTGATCAGGTCAAAAAGTAACAAAAACTGTTATGTTCAAAGTGTCGTGTCTCAAGTTGCAAAGACAGACCTTAATTAGGCAAAGCTAACTTCCCCTGCAGATTCCACTCGCCTGCTTCATGGTTTCCCAGTTCTTTCCCTTCCCGACAGAAAGCCCTCTGATGGGCAGCACTAGTCTTCTCCCCTTACCCTCCCACCAAAAAAATTGCCCAAAGTTTAACATCATTACACTCCGTGAATTCGTGGATGTCGAAAATTCCAAGGCTCCATGCCAAAGCCTCGTCATCTCTCATTCTGTCTGACGGTTCCTCAAATTGGCACGTTATTCTCTTTTCTAAGTTTTATTCTTCCCTTTCATATTGAGTCATCCTTGCACAGGGCTTTTTCTAACCTTCACTTTACGGTTCCAACTTCCAACCTTATGATGTCCTCCTCCCCTTTTCTCCTTGCATCACCGCCCTCCTTTCTCGCCGACTTTGGCAACATCATTCCTTCGATGAACTATAGGGTATGGCCAGAGAGAGGCTTGTCCATATCCCTCCAATCTCCTATACGAAGACTGTTAGCAGCATCCATTCCTTTTCATATGCTTATGTGCAATGCAAACGAAGCAATCAGCAGAGCTTGTCAGTTGCATACTCCGCTGCAGCTCTGCTCACGAAAAGGCAGACATTTCCACAAGCCTTAGCAGAAACAGCCGCACCCCAAAAGATTGGAGCGCGTGAGGACAGCAAATGGACACACACAGCAACAGCAGGCCCACACTGTTTGTGGGCATTACTGAAAAGGGAGTTGCAAGAGCACCACTCAATACAACGACATGTGTAGAATAACACTAGAACACCTATAAGCGCATGGTTCCATTGATTCAATACATACAACATCCACAAGAACACGTGGGCTTCCATGGACTGAAACACTCTTCCAGCATGGGGACAACTTGCACATACCGCTGTCCTCTGGTGAGGGAACAGGTCCAGCTTCAGACCGGGAGCAAGACCAGCAGCAAGCTCTCTAGTATGTCGGCAGACAGCCTCCACGGAGCGCAAGTCAGCAGCAGACAGCCTGCAAAACCATAACCAACCACAGAACCGCCCACGCCAATTCTCAGTCCACAGACCAGAATCTGCAGACACTGTTACCCCACTGCCCTGTCCCCACACTTCAGTGAGGGAGTCCTTTGGACCGGACTCAGGTACCATTCGCAGTGCTTGGCCAATCAACCCTGCCTCATCAGTGCCTGGCTCATATCCTATCCACCCTGCCAACACCATGACCCACATATTGACGCAAGGGCGATCCAGATTGGCAACCGAACACGAGTAACATATCCCATAAGCTTACATCCATCTACATCAATACAAAGAAACTGTGGTGTACTAAGTAGCGAAATTGTGCAAGGAAAAACATAACGTGCAGGGGGTTCAACCGCGAAGAAATTGAGAGGAATGGGAGGGTATGACCAGATGGCGAGGGTGTGTTCCACAACTGATGAGAGAGGAGAAGAGTAGGCTGGAAGAAAGACATCCTTCAGATCATCTGTGAAAATTGGAGTGATACAGAGGAGATTAGCATGGCCCCTGCACAAGGATGACATGCATATGCAAGGGAACAAGCAATGCGAACAGCAATGAACCAAATTGCAACATCTCACAGAAGACCAGATGTCATCGAGTCGAAACTGAAAGCAGGAATCAAAGTGAGATCACACCAAATAGGAACAAGTGTTATGATTCTGGTTGTTTGTCGTCTTAAGACCAACACTCACTCACATAGACTTCCAGGTATGCCCATACATACACAGAAGGGGAGAGGATAGGAGTATCACACCGCACAGGGGGAGATAAACACAGCGGAAGACTTGACCATGCGATATGACAGGGTACACTGAAAGTGCAATTCACTCCACTCAATCCTCACAACCAGTCATAAAGAAAAGCCGAGCAGATCACATCCAGGAAACAGTGAAACGATGATAGTCCAAACCCAGTATCACACTGTTTATTAAACTCAGAGTCTCAAATTGTCAGGATAACCTCAGTACTACAGTGCGCTGCTCGGGAATGAGCAGCGCTTCACTCCCCAACCCTGAGTATCCACTCGTAACACCCCTGAGCCCCTGAAACATCAAGCGCCACCCAGATACAGCCTCCAAAGGGAGGCGCCACCCTGAAACAGGCCTCTGAGGCCAAGCGCCACTCAGAGGATGAAGAAGAAGACCAGCGCCACAGTATCTGATGATGACGAAGTGTCGGAAGACTTCCCGGGTGGAAGTCTGCAGCAGCGCCACCAAACCCTGACRAGATGACCTCTGAGGAAGAAGCTGCAGCAATGGCTGCAGCGCCACACCCTGGAACCCCACTCCGGAGGACGGTCCAGCAGGGCACCAACYTCTCTCGCCTCCAGCAGACCTCAATAGCCCAGACCTCTGTCAGCCCCTGCGTGCTGGCAGAGTACAGCGCAGGTCCCAGCTATGGCCGGCGCTCCGAAGGTCCGGCTATGCCTGTCTCCTTCCACGCTGAGCCGTCACCACTTCCGGTTCACGCGTAGCGCAGCAGCGATGTACTCGGTACCAACTGCCAAAAGCCCTGAACCGATGTGCCCATCCTATCTATAGTGTAAACTAGCCTAGACTCGACCTAAACCGAACTGACTGACCGACCGGTACCGATTCTGTTTCGGCCTCCAGGGCCTCTCCCAACCCGGCTATGGGCTATAGGACCATCTATCAGCTTAGGCCCTTAGGGCCTGTCTGTCCTGGAGGTTGCCCAGGCCTGCTATTCGCAGTTAGGATAGCTGTAGGGAATTCTCTTAGTACAGGCCTATATTTTCCCAAATTTACAAATATGTCCCTCACGAATTTCCTTACAGGCAGGTCCCTCGGCTAGCCCTCAGCCCAACAAAATTAGGAATCTAACCTAAGACGCGACCCGACCGAGGCAAGACCCAAGCTTCACCCTCGGCCCAATCTACAGTCCACTGAGAATCTGCAGGCTTCATTACACAAGGAAAGAATTGAAGACTCCTGTTAATAAATGAAATCCCTCCCAATGCCTCCAATCATCAATGCAACAACAATCTAGCAATCCTACTGGCGGCTATCCGCCCGTTCCACCGACAGACGCTCCTATCAAACTAGCCTACTCATGTTACAACAGGTTCCACGTGTCATCATTCCAATGAAGCCTGAAGACTCTGACTGAACAGCCTGCCTTCGTCAACACCAGGTACGCTCCTCATCACACTGCCCTCATCTCCTTCTCCTTCCCACAGCCCTTCTCCTTACAGGACCTCCACTACTTTTAACACCGCTCGGCCATGGTGAGTGCAGACTGGTTGTGGCTGCCTCACCCCCTTCTTTTCTCTCACTGCCACCATGCAGCTTCCTCCATGGCCACAGCGTTCAGTTGCTGCTCCAGCAGCATTGTCGCATTGGCACAATGCCCGAATGTGCTGGAGACTTAGCCCTCCAGCCTTTTGTGCTGGCTGGGAAGGCCAAGCAGCCCTTGGCCTGCCTGGGCATACTGGTTAGTTGGAGGTCCTGTAAAGATGCTGCACACTCTGCAACTACCCGGGCCCCCATTTTCCCCACATTGGCTTCTTTGTAAGGCCCCGCTGTATTTCAGAAGGTCCGCGTTCTCTTACGGCAGGCGGGGGCATTTTCCTGGCTGACCAAGGTGCGGAATCCTCGCACATAAATCGAGAAATGGTCCCGCCAGGTGTTAGGAGGTTGGGCACTGTGCAGAGTTGGGTATGCGTAGACCCATAACCTAGGGATAGCTGAGACTTAGCTAGTACATTTAGAGATACTCCTGGCATAGAAACGGGATTGTGGTTGAGGTCGTGCAAAGACAAGGCAAGTCTCCATACTAGATGCGTGAGGGGTAAATGTAGGGTAGGTAGGTAGGTAGTGTGAGGTAGACACAATAGTGAGAGAAGAAAATAGGGTAGTAAAAATACAGCATGTCCCCCGTATAAGAGGAGAAGACAGCTGTATTTAAAAAATATATACATATATCGTCACAAACAGAACTGCCCGGTAAACCGCAGGCAGAGAGAGAGAAGAGGACAACAAACGAGGGGCTGTGACAAACTGTTTCGTCGGAGTTTCACCGACTCATCAGGTTGCTGAACCCTCAACAGTCTGCAGAATCCCCTCACTGATTACACTGTAAATGATAATCTACCTTAACCAAAATCAAAGTAGACTATCACTCACCCACACCAGATGGAAAACTCTACAGACTGTCGGTTCACACCCCATCACAAGCCAGCAAAACATCCACGAAACAAAGAAAGGTCTGTCACAGCCAAAAAATACACTCCAGACACGCCGCTGGCACTAGAGGCACAGCATGGCCGCCTAGTAACGGCCCCAACCACTGCCGCTCGACCTGACCGGAAAAAACCGTAGCAGGAAGCTAGCGAAGTCGTAGTATATATCGTCACAAACAGAACTGCCCGGTAAACCGCAGGCAGAGAGAGAGAAGAGGACAACAAACGAGGGGCTGTGACAAACTGTTTCGTCRGAGTTTCACCGACTCATCAGGAGGCTGAACCCTCAACAGTCTGCAGAATCCCCTCAGCGATTACACTGTAAATGATAATCTACCTTAACCAAAATCAAAGTAGACTATCACTCACCCACACCAGATGGAAATTTCTACAGACTGTCGGTTCACACCCCATCACAAGCCAGCAAAACATCCACGAAACAAAGATATATATACATATATATAGTCAAACAGAGCTGAGGGTCGGAATAGAGACTACTGTCTTAGCCCGAAAACAGGGTTCGTACCTTGTATACAAATAGAAGATATGGGGTAACCTGTATTTGAATACAAGGTACGTACCTTGTAGAACGAATTTTAGGGTGCAACTTTCCTAAGGCTAGGGTGGTAAGAATATCACGAATAGAACGCAGTCGACGGCTGCCAGGATGGGGCTGCAGCCTGCAGCGTGAAGTTCTTTTTTTTCTTTTTTTTGGGGGGGGGAAAATAAAAGAACGCATACATTAGCGGCGATAAATTATGGGCTCGCGCAAAGTAGACTTCAGAGTCTGGGCCTTGCTCCACTACTCTCGACTCGTGCAAATCGAGAGTGATTTTTGTCTTTTGTGCAAGTCATGAGTAGATTGCAGCCCAATAAAAAAAAAAAAGCACCCTGAAATGTGTCAGACAAGGCACACCTAGAATACAAGGTACATACCTTGCATTCGATGGTACCTTCCATTCGGAAATTTAACAGCCATTTCTCAGAACCCATTTTTCGGAGGTAACTTGAATACAAGCTACGTACCTTGTTTTCGGGTTAAGACGGTAGGGGCTTCACCACATCTCTCGCCAAATCCCAACATTTTGAACGTTTCTGGACTTATTCCATTTTGAGATTCACTCAGAACGTTGGCATTTGGGGAGTGGGGCAGTGAGCACAAACATGATAAGTTGCAGAGACGTTTCAAAATCAAAGCCTGGAAGGTAGGCCTGTCGATAAGAGTTTCAGACAAGGCAAGCTTGCCAGCTTCATAGATCAAGATAGTCATCAACCCAGACTTCACAGAGAATAGAGGATGTGAACGTTAAGTTTCACAAAATTTGGGGAGTTGCCAATCATCGACCCAGACTTCGCAGTCCATTAAGCCACCACTAACTTTCGCAGACTACGTCAAGGATCGAAAATGTAACATTCCAGGTTCATCGGAGGCTCAGGGCTGCCAGACACCGATGGCCGGCAGCGCCAGCCAAAAGGGAAAAACGCCTTGCTGGCACTTCAGCGAAGCTTGCCTCAAAACGGGAGTCCGCCTCGGCGAAAGGAGGCTCCGAGATGGTGGCAGTTTAAGAATGTACCAACGTAAAGTCTCACAAAATTTGAGGGTGTGCAAACTCGGGAGATGCTGAGAAGATGTCAAGCTCGCTAACACCATCAACGTCACCCAACAAAGGGACCCAACCACAACGCCCCTACACAAAGCCCATAAAATCCCCAACCCAACCAGAAAATCTGAGGCTTGGGTGACTTGAGGGACCAAGGATCCCAATCTACGGACCACCTTCCTCCCCACCCACCCCAGGGACCAAGTCAAGCATGTAGTTCCAGACTCCCCAATTTGGAAGATGGGTCCAGAGTGAAATCAGACTCGCATTCTTCTTCACTTCGCATACATGCAAACAGATGGCAATTCACATGGCGCTGTGGGCCCACACAAAGCTCAGAGATAATCAAGCCAAGAACACAGTTCCGATACAAACTCGCTTCCAACTGGCTATGGCGCCTGAGCGCCCACACATCCTCTGTCCAACACTGTGTTCACACAACTGTTCACACGCACTCGACTCTGGATCTCCCTGGATATCCCAGGTACGCACACTCTGTTCACACACGCACAAGCTCACCCTCAATACCACCTATCGCTAGCTATGGCAGCTATGGCCGCTGTCTACAACTAACTACAAGCAGCTATGGCTGCGCTAACTCCACTTCAGCCCACTTCAACTCCAGGCCTCTGCAGACCACCTCACACAAGACGCTAGGGCAGCGCTTCCGCATGGCGCACGCAGGAATGAATGAATGGCTGGGCGCCGCCTCTTGATTTATACTTCTGTAAGTCGCTGGTCTGCCCTTTTTCCACCGGGCCCATGGAGCACACAGTCCCTCATGGTGCTTGCTGACTGTACAAAGTGAGACTGGGACTGGGTACCTCTGACTAAGCGAAGTTCGACTCACCACTTGCCCACTTGCCTCTGGTCTGCTGTGTATAACGTGAGAAGAAACTTGAAAGGCCACTTCCGGACCTTCCCGAAGTTTGCGTACTTGGCCTTTCAGGACTGTAGCAGCTATGACCTTGACCTTTCAGAACTATACAACAACTATAACCCCTATGCAGGTACGACCCCTACTTCGGCAGGTCTAAGGTTCAAGACCCGACAACTACTCAAACTTACGACAGACAACTTTCAACTACTAACACACAGATCACGGGTTCAAGACACACAGGGTCGACTTGATACTGTACACAGGTAAGGTAAGGTAAGGTAAGGTAAGGTAAGGTCTGGGGATCGAACCCTGGGATCCGCATCTGTGGTTGCAAAAAGGTGAAAACCGTTTCAAGAGAGACAAGGGCGATTAAACATTCCACCCTGCCCAATCTAGCAAGTTTGGACTTCAAACTCATCGCTGTTTCCTGGGTACCTTCTTTGTTCTGCAGAGCCCACCCAAACAGAGCTCAAGGCATCCATGCACTTTAGAAGCCAATGAGGAACAGTGAGTACCAATCTTTCAAGAACATCATTCTCTCACCAGAAGCATGATCTAGAATTCAAAACAGCTTCAAGTCATCACACTAAAACATCAGAAGCCCATGGTGACGTCACTCCACTCTCCAGACACCTCTAGGGGTAGTAGATAACTTGACCATACTAAGTGTCAATTCATGGCAGGCATAAAAACAGGGGTTCAGCAACCACCTCAAGGTTTGTAGTCCGATAATGAACCCAAGTGCTGCTTTGTGGCAGGCATCAAGTACGCGCCCAATAAGTGTCCCAGTGTCCCACAATACAAAAGTAGCAAGAAAGCATTAGCGAAAAATAGATAAAAGGTAGGACGTGGGTAAAAGGTATGCAACGAATGATTCTGTCCGGATACCAACCTGGCCAGAATAGAGACCAAAATTTCATCCGGAATACTCCAGATCCCCGAGCAGTTGGTCAATAACTTGTCAGGCTTCATGCATGTGTCAATATTGGACAACGCATTGATTTGCGAAGGTAAGGTTTTGAATAGCGCTGGAAGGTTGAACCGCTCCTGTTTCTCCTCTTCTGTGAGCACAGCATGCATCTTGCATCCCAAGACGTGGCACTCTCCCAAACTGCCGACCGTCAAGTCCTTCATATGAGAAGGTATACCCCGCTTTCCTTCAGAAACATTTCTCAAAATCTCTTCCCTTTGCTTGTAGTCACAGCTGCAGAGAGAAACAAGCATTGAATAAAATTCGAGTTAAACATGAAACACCCTAACATCTTCTTTGTGGGTACAAAAACATGACCAAAGGTCATGGCTCAATTCTACTCCGGAGCAAGTCTGGTTCATCTCCAGAGATAGTGCCATCGAATACAATAATGTGTCATGAAAATCAAACAAAGCGTTCATTACCCTGTATCTTTTCTCTCCAAGAGCGGGTGAGCAATTCGTGTTTAGTAGTATTGACTTCTGAGGTAGGAGCAGCAAATCGTTTCCAATTGTCAAATGATAGCCTTCCAAGCGGGGAAACAGAAAGATACACCTGAAGTCGTTTCCACTTTGGACAAGTGGTCCAGCTAAACAGTTTGTCATACATTTACATAGTGATTTCCTGTGTGCCATACGGCACATATTTACAGAAGGCTGTTTCGTCGGACTTTCACCGACTCGTCAGGAGGTTCAACCTCGACAGTCTGTTTTGATCTGCTACTATTACCTTCTGTGGCAATACTCCTTATGTCACATTAAGGTAGACCCAAGAGCTGTCGAAATGTCACCCATATTGCTTGTATTCACGGTCATTGACATTCTCCCCAAAAATGCTCATACCTGTAGTCAGAACTCGTCAAGTTCATTGATTATTCTTTTCTTTTCGCTTTTACGCCCTCCTACATATCCTTTTCTCTCTCCTTTTTTTTATTTTCCTAGACTTCAAACCACCAATAGACCACCTGAAAACGGTGTTAAGCCGGCCTGCAGCTGGCCACCGAACCTCCAGAGACGAGAAGCGGATTGGGAAATTCGAGCAGTTGCTGAGTAACGGGATTGATGGGGTTTTTTTTGTCTGAGAGGTGCCTTTGAAAGTGGCGAAGGTGCTCCTCTATTTGTCATGGCACCCACAGTCAAGAATCGCGTGCCGCCAGGTTTGAGCAGAAACATCAACACGTTCAGCATTTTGGTGCAGTGTTTTTTATCATCCTGCCTTTTCTTTTCTTTTCTTCGCATTGTGTGCATTTGTCTTCATTTTTTAGCAATCTTCTATGGTCTCGATCTTCTCGTTGCCCATGTTCGCGCCCACAGGGTGCCTGGAAATACATGGGCAGGGTACTGCCATACTGGTGGTTAAAACCACCCCTGCCCCTGATCAGGTGGAAGACTCTACAGACTGCAGGTTCACCACCCATCATAAGCCAGTAACCCCCCACGAGACAAATAAAGGTCTGTGTCACAGGCAGAAAATACAGTCCGGACATGCCACTCGCACTAGAGGCAGAGCATTCCTGCGTAGTGATGGGCTCAACCACTGCCATTCTACCTGACTGGAGAAAACCGTAGTAGGGACCTGGCAAAGTTGTATATGTATATATATAGCTTGCATGTTCAAAACATTATGACACGGATACACATTGCATACGGTTGCCACCACCAGGTCCTACCCCAACAACGGTCCAGTGCCCCAGGGGCGGGCCAAATCATGCATCAGAAAGGTCAGGCTCAGAGGTACTGGTGGTTTAAAACCCAGTACGTTTTCCCGCCATTTTTCTCGAACCCCGCTGCATGCGCCCCCCAACTTTCAGAGGTTGGCTGCCAGAGCAAAATGGCTGGCAGCATCAGCCAAATGGAGACCCGCACCGATTCGTCTTCTTTTGGCACTCAGGCCATTTCGAGCCTCGGGAAAAAGAGGCTCTAAAGTGCTTGTGGTTTAATGAGGCCACTTTTTCGAGCAGCTGGCTGGTTCACCGCCCGGGCTAGACTCAAAATTGGGGAAGTACCTAGCAGTGCCCTCCACGTCAACAGCAAGCCACTTATGATCACTTTCAACGAAAGGGTGGGGGCAAAGGGGTGGGGCTTTGCCAAAGTGAAGAGAACGGCATGCATAAACAAATGGAACCTGTCTCCCACACTGACTATGCAAGTTTCATAAGGATGGAAGTCCAGGCCCGTGGGTTGCGGAGAACAGTGCAATATCGATGTATCTTACCCACTGTTATACGGACCCTTGAGCGCACCCTGTACAACTCTTTGAGACTTGTGGATAACAACGAAATCATCGGCGTATCTTACTAGGATAACTCTGGCCAGATGGACGAGTCTCACTAACCGCATTCACAGTTTCCTCTTCCTTCTTTTATTTAATTTGTAATCCAGACCATTCATCAGTTTATTTGTTTCATCCTTGGCGAGGCCATGCTAATCGTATATGCATCATTCCAATTGGAATGCACGTCCTGAACGACTAATCATTATTTTACAATGACTTCGGGGGTTCACAAACCAAGCTTGAAGCTGGTTTGGACGACTCCTATCAGTTCTGGGCCTTCTGGCAAAAGCATGTCGCAAGCTGAAGAAGCAAGGCCTAGTAAAACCACCAGTTTCCTCAAGGCCCCTCATTTCAAGTTTACCCTTCTGCACAGGTAAGGTACACTAAATGCCCAATGGTCAGTCCACATACAGAAGTGAATCGGTATTCACCAATTCGTGGTAGCTGAGGTAGATCCCAGGGCTCGATCCCTAGTTTCCCAACTTACCTGTGTACAATACCAGCGTCAACCCGAAGAGTTGAMCCTGCGACCTGTAGAACCGCCAGTGGTAGGTAGGTCTGTCGTAGGTCTAGAGGTAGCCAGGATTCGATCCGTAGACCTATAGACTAGAAGGCTAGCTGCAGTCCTTCTAGAAGGCAGGCAAGTGGTCAAGGGGTGCAGGCAAGTGGTCAAGTGGTGCAGGCAAGTGGTCAAGTGGTGTAGGCAAGTGGTCAAGTGGTGCAGGCAAGTGGTCAAGTGGTGTAGGCAAGTGGTCAAGTGGTGCAGGCAAGTGGTCAAGTGGTGCAGGCAAGTGGTCAAGTGGTGCAGGCAAGTGGGCAAGTGGTGTGACTAAAGCAAGCCCATGTTGGAGAGAGTCCAGAAGTACCAGTCCGGTCCAGCAAGTACCACGGGGGGAACTGTGTGCACCATGGGCCAGGGACACAAGGCAGACCAATGCAGCACAGAAGTATAAATCAAGAGGCTGCGTCCATTCATGCATTCATTCCTGCGGATGCCATGCGGAAGCGCTGCCTAGCAGCTTGTGCGAGGAGGTCTGCAGAGTGCCCGAAGACGAAGTGGGCAGAGGAGTAGAGTGCAGCGATAGGTAGTGGCAGCTAGCGCTGCCATAGCTGTAGC